CCATTTCTCAGGCCACAGATTTTCATGTTTATTAGTATCTCTCTCTATCTTCTCTAGAATTCCCAAGTACCCTGTCTCCACTATTTTTAACATAGATGACCAAATAAATCCAAGATGAACTTTGTGTAAATCAGCTAGGGTCAAATATTATATACTCCTAATATGTACTAGCATCCCTTCAATATCTCCAAATATGTTGGAGGGATTAAGATGGCCTCAAACATTTTTTAAAGATCTTGAATACTTTGGACAAAAATAAAGCCCTTTCTCATCAGTAATATTTCTAGAATATGGGAATGCAGATTGATATAAATCTCAGTTGACTTGCCTTATTTTTTCCCCATATTTTGAGAGCTATATATATTATATATCTGTCCATGAATATATGTATATTGTATATATATATATGAATATATATATTGAAAGTTAGCATAGCAAAGTGGTTAAGAGTCTTGAAACTAGATTACTTTTGAGTTCAGGCTCCATCACTTGCTAATTGTATAAGCTTCAACAAGTTATATAACATCTCTGTGCCTCAGTTTCCTTATCTGTAAAATGATATAAAATTATGTACCTTGTGAGTTGGTTGTGGGGATTAAATGAGTTCATGCACAAAAAACAGAATGGGCAGCCCGGGTGGCTCAGCAGTTTAGCACCACCTTTGGCCCAGGGTGTGATCCTAGAGACCCGGGATCGAGTCCCCACGTCAGGCTCCCTGCATGGAGCCTGCTTCTCTCTATGCCTTTCTCTTTCTCTCTCTCTGTGTCTCTCATGAATAAATAAATAAAGTCTAAAAAAAAAAACAAAAATAAAACATTTAGAACATGCCTGTAAAGAGGGATACAAAAACTTTAGTAATTATTATAATAGGCATCATATGAATACATACATATGCATATATAATATATACTTGCCTAGTCTACAAAATAAGATGATTTTATGTATGTTGTTAAATGCATTTTATATGTAATATATAGTATATATGTATACTCCATATATTGCACATTTCAATTTTCTTGATTTTCAGTTATTTAATGACCAATATGAGAATACCAATGTAGCTCATGTCTGGACTATACATAGTATATATTTGGCATTTTAAATCTGTCCATTTAATGAATTAATATTCCTCGCTGAAAACTGGCTCTGATACAAAGTGTAAGTGGAATCAAGGTGAAGTGGAAGAGTGCAGATTTAAAGCAGGAGACTCTGGATTCTCATTCTGACACAACCACATAGAAGCTATATGATTCTGGGCAAGTCATTTAACCTCTCTGAGGTTAGTTTTTTCATCTGCAAAACAGGGATGCAACATTCTTGCAAGTTTGTGGTGAGAAGTAGAAATACATAAAAGAAGCATTTGGCCAAGAGCCTGGCACATAGTAAATGCTTGATAAATGTAAATTTATGTGTCTTTAATGTGTCAGCCCCACTTCAAACGTGGCTATTTTTTAAAAGCCCAACACAAACAAACATCCCACTGGAAGGTTTTGATCAGCTATGCTGTTGCTATATAATGATCATGAGTTAGTCTTAAGGCATGTGGTTTCAATAACCATAATGGTTGGAAGTTTTGCTGCCCATAGGAGCAAAGGGGAAGAGGTTGGTCTAAGTCACTTTTAATCAATATCTTACCAGGCAGCTTGCAACTTTGCCCCTTTTATTGCTCTGCCCAGCCTCACTTCTCCTGCCAGTAAGAAGCTCCAGAAGCAGTTACGCTGAAAAAGCTGTAGAAGCTGAAACCTTGGTGGGGTTAGGCCAAGCAGGCATGTTTGCCACCCATTGGCCAGAGACCCAAGGGAAAAAGACATTCTGTTCCTTCATTTTCACTGAGTCTGAGACAACTGGATCAAAACCTAGGGGTAGTTCACTATAAATGGCAATTTCTTTTCAAATATTCTATATTTTCACATAATTGATAGTAAGGGGTTTATTTATTTATTTATTTATTTATTTATTTATTTATTTATTTATTTATTGGGCCTGATTAGCCTCTTGCACATTATATAAGGATTTGGGTATGACATAGTAATAGCTTATTGTGAAAAGCAATTACATACATACTATGAAAATAAATCATTTAATGTATCCTAAGAACTCTTTTTTTAAAAAATATTTTATTTATCCATGGGAGACAGAGAGAGAGAGAGAGAAGCAGAGACACAGGCAGAGAGAGAAGCAGGCTCCATGTAGGGAGCCTGATGTGGGACTTGATCCCAGGACTCCAGGATCATACCCTGGCCTGAAGGGAGGCACGCAGCTGCTGAGCCACCCAGGTGTCCTCCAAGAGCTCTTTAGAATAAAAATAATACTTATATTCCAGGTATAGTGCAAATATTGATAAATTCTTATGAATTCTTATGTTCTTATTACACAGGTAGGTCTGGCATGAAGCTTGCGTGATATAAGAAATGTGAGGAAATGTAGCATATAGGAAAGGTGTTTCATGCACAGGTGTAGTGAATTTTTTCACACAGTTGGTGAAGCCACATGGATCCAGCAATTTGAATGTTATTACTATCCCTGGTCTCTCTCATTAAATACTTAAGAAAACATAGTAAAATCGTTTAAGGATACACATTTAGAATGCCATATCCAGAGCTATGTCCAAGTAGCAAATGATTACATTGCTTATAAATTCCAAGTAGATGATAATTTAGAGTCCCCATGAAAGCCCTGAGTTTATTTGATTGTTCTCTGTGCTATCAAATATTTGTGGAAGAGAAAGCTTTCCTTTGTGGGAGTGGATAATAACTGTGCTTACACTTTGAAAATTTTGCCTTGAGTTATTAAGATTTGCATTTCTCACTTTTGTTTCAAAGGAAGGTGTTTTGCCATTTTTAGAAACCCGGTACCAAATAATCAATCATCAAACACCCCAGAAAGTTTCCACTCTAGACAAGTGCAAAATCTCAGGTATTAGCAATCCACCTCCAGAAACAAATCTACAAAGGGTGGAAAGGGGCGGGGGGGGGGTGGGAGAGAAAGGATGTATCACTTTCCTAGGTGAATATATTGTGATTGGTAAGTGTTGCAGTGCACTAAGAAACTGTATTTGCTTAGTAGCTGCCATTTAGAAACCAGCCAGAAAAAAAGTCAGAGAGAGAGAGAGAGAGAGAGAGAGAGATCTCAGACAGGCAAAGCCGTAAGCCTCCCTCCCATGCTGCTTCAGTGCCCTGCTCCTCCAGGCGCGTGAAGCATAAACAGACTGTGGTCATTGATCTCCTGGTGGTGTTGCTGCGCCCTGGGAAATGCTGGGGGTGCCCAGGGACGCGACTCAGTCGATGGATGCGCATCTGAAGAAAATCAGCGAGATGAGGAAAGAGGATATGCAAATCGGCTGGAGGAGAGGAAAGGGAAGAACGGGGAAAAGAAACGTGTTGCTCGCATTGTGTCTGAGTCCCCTTCATCCCCCTCCTCCAGACCCGCTGCCGACCTCGTGACGTCTCCCTTCTGGCCCCTTTCTGGACACCAGTTCTAGGAGGATGAGTCGGAACCCCTGACTACCCCCACCTCCCCCCTTGAAGATTTAATAAGGGTTTCTTTTTCTTTCTTTCCTTTTCCTTTTCTTTTCTTTTCTTTTTTTTTTTTTTTTTTTTTTTTTTACCCCTGGCCAACCAGCAGCTGTTAAAAGTCAATGAAAGTAAGATGGGAAGAGCTAAGCGCCAGAGCAGCCTGGGAGCTGTCAGAGCCCACGCTGGGATCAGCCCCACGGCTTCTGCTCGGGGCATCACCTCGGAGTTGCTTCCCAGGGTGATGTAACTCCGAGGGTCTCTCTCGCCCTCACGCTCTAACTCCAGTGTCGCCCGAGTCCAAGCCCAGCGCCGAGCCCCCGCCCCCACCCCCACCCCCCGCCACCCCTCCCGCCCCTAAATATCATTCCTTGGTTCTTGGGCATTGGGTCATTTGAGTTCACCCCCACAAATCAAAACCAGCTCAACCACCCCGGAGGCAGGGGAGGGGGAGAGCGCCTCGAAACTTTTCTCTCCCCGCACCCCAGAGGAGTAGGTGGGTTGCAAGTGCCGGCGGCGGCGGAGACCCGCGGGCGCGCCTCGGGGCTCCGGGAGGTCGCGGTCGCTTTAAAACCCGAACCTCTCGCCGCTACAGCCTTCGCGCCGGGCAAACGGCGTCTCGCCTCCCAGAAGGTTCCGCGGACGTTCGCAGACCCCCACGCGCCCCCCCCGCCCCGTGCGAGCTGTACAGTGTGCAAACGGGGATGAGGGGCAAGCAGGGGCCCAGGTAATGGTTGCAGGGCAGCGGGTGAGGTTCCAGCGCAGGGAAGAAGTTGACAAAGGGGACCCGACCGAACACGAACGCGTGTTTATAGATGCGAGCTCCATCGAGATCCGGAGAGAGCCCCCTCTCCCTGGCTCCCTCCACTCCTGCCATTGCATTTTATCGCTCCTTTAAGTGGAGGGCAGATTTTTTTTTTTTTTTTTTGACATTCCTGCACGGTGTGGGTAATCACCGCGTTATTTACAATCTAGTTACTCTGCAGCAGCCCGGGGAGCAAACTCCGGGGCTCCTTTCCTCCGGAGGGACGGAGAGGGCGGCCAGGCGGCGAGCTGCAGGAAGGAGGTCACAGGGTGGGTGTGTGCGAGCCCGGGGGCCACCTGGAGGGCGTCGGAGCCCCCCGGCGCCGCCCCCGCGCCCCGCGCCCCGCGCCCACCCCCGCTGCACCCCCCGGGGCGGGCGCCGGGCCGCGGTGACCGCCGGCTGGTGCGCTGCCCTCGCCTCCCCCATTGTTCCTACTGTCTTTTTGCCTTTTGTTATTTGCGCTCGCATTGTGTTGTTTGTCTCCGAAGCCGCCTCATGACCAGCAAAGGGATTTCACCTCGTCCTTGAGAGCCACACGGGGAGCGGGAGCGAGCGAGCCAGAGAGCGAGAGCCGGGAAGGGAGGGGGGGGGGGGGAGAGGGACACGCGCGCGCGCGCACAGACACACACAGACACACACAGACACACACACACACACACACACACACACACACTGGGTGAAACCGGCGAGCCACCAAAACCCATCCCCAGTCTCCTCCCGGGGGCCCCCAGCCCGCCGCCGTGCCACTTTGCATCCCGCGCCGGAGGAGCCGTGAAGGAGACCCGGTAAGGTGCGTGAATCGCAGCGGTTCAACTTTGTTGTTGGTCCCGAGGTTGTTGCGGGCAGACCTCCAAGGCGCAGAGCCCCGCTCCGCCGCCCGCCGCGCCCGCCGCTCGGCACTCGCTCGCGGCTCCAGCTGGAGAGCCGGCTGAGCGCGGAGGGGGCCCCGCCGGAGTTTCCTCAAGTACGCGGAGGGGAGGGGGTGCGGGCGGGGGTGGGGGGACGGGGCTGGGGGAGAGGGGGAGGCGGCTCGACGCTCGAGGTGGCCCTGTCATCCCCCCCGGCGGGGGGGGGTGGTGCTGGTGGTGGGGGTGGAGGGGGGCGGCCGGCCGGCGGGGGGAGCCCCGGAGCGTGGGCTTGGCCCCCGTTCAGGAAATGGGATAACTTTAGATATTTGTTGGGGAGTCTGCGCGCTGTTGCCGGTATTGTTTTGCAAGCGGCGGCGGTGGAGGTGGTGATGCGCGAGGAGGGCAGGAGCGCGGGGGAGAGCCTGGGCTCGCCGGGGCAGCGCGGCCGACGCTGGACCACAGACCCTAAAAGTTGGGACGGAGCTCCCTGCGCTCCCTGGAGGCCCACAGGCGCGGCCCCCAGCCCACCGCACGGTCCCAGGAGGCTCCCTTTTCCTCTTTTTGTTTCGCTTTCCGCAAGCCCCTCTGCCTACCAGTCCTCCTCCTCTCCCGCCCGGAATTTCGGAGCCAAGTCCCATCCTTCAGAATGCAAGGGATCCCAGAGGCCGGAAGCTTTCCTTTTAATTGCAACTACTTTCCCCTCACCCCACTCTCCCCCCCCCCCCACTCGGGGTACGAAGTGAAACCGTCACGTGTTGTGTCACTCGAAGCGCGGGGTTCGGGAAACCTCGCTTGCACTTTGGGGCTACGGTGATCGGCAGGGAAAGGAGGTGATCCGACTGCAGATCAGACTGGGTTTGGAGGTGTTTGCGTTTGATGTGATAGCAGCGGTTGCTTGAGTATTGATCTGCCGGCCCCGGTTGCACCTGAAGCACCGTTTCCGTATTTTAATAGTCATTTTCCTTACACTTTGCAAAGCGTGAGCGTTGTTAATGCATAGATTGACCCTGGCGAATAGCTGAAGACGCTGGCCTCGCAGACTAAACTCCAAAGCGTGGTGAATGGGAAATTCATTCTAATGGCTCGCCTTCTCAGCTAAAGCAGGGCAAAATGAGGAATTCTGTGAGTGTGCAGAGCCAAGAGTCTCACTGTCAGCCAACCCGGGCACTCTGGGTGGCAGTCAACTGCACTCCAGAAAAGTTTAGGGATTTGTTCTATCCCACTTGAGAACCTCACAGTATCCAGATATCCAAAGTAGTTTGTCAAGAAAGGCTTGAGCCGATTTCCCCAGAGACTGCCTTCAGGCTCAGCACAATTCTTCAGTCAAGGGCAAGACCAAGAGAGATCTGTGGGATTTTGGGTAATAAGTGTGGGAATCTGCAAAGGGACGAGACAGAGTGATTTGTTTCCTTGCTGCTCATAAATAATGGCCCCTAGTATCCCTAAAAAAAAAAAAAAAAAAAAAAAAAAAAAGCCCACGCAAACAAAACAAGCCAATGAAGTAGGCGCGTGGGAGATTTGGAGGCAATGGATATTTCAATCAGAAAAAAACAGAGCAGAGTTTTTGATCAGGATTACAGGAGTGAGGCTCGATTGCCAAGAGTGATTAGGTTAAGGGCCAGATGGCTTTTAAGTATACAGAAATGTTTTTTTTTTTAAGTTTGACTTTTATAGAATTAGAAGGAGGACCATTTCTTAGAGTCTTTTACAGAACTGCAAAATTTTGATCTGTCTCATTTTGAAGGAATTCAGCTGTATGTGAACTGTTGTTAACTCTGATAGGGAAAGAATCTGGTTTCAAATGTAGATACATGGGACAAAGTTTCTGGGGGTGCTTCTTCCTGATTTAAATATAGCTCCGAGGCTGAAGCCTAGATAAATTCAGCCACAATGACTTAAAATCAAAAGTACTTACACTGAAAGTTCTCTTAGGCATTGTGCAAAGTTCTTCTGCAAATTATGTCATCAACTGTTTATTCCTCAGAACTGCGTAAGATAAAAATCATAAGCATCACTTAAAACTGATGCAATACAGCTTTAAATCCTCAGACTGGTAGGGATTGCTTTTGTTTGCCTAAAAGGTAGATCTTTCATCACATGAGTTGTTTAAAAACATTTAATTGTGGGGGTGGGAAGGGATGTGCATAATTATTTAGTTATTTGTGTTAATTATATAGTAGCATGCTCGCTTGAAATTCTTTTTTTTTTCTTTCCAGTGGTCTTCTAACAATCTTGTATGTGAAGAATTAATAGAGGTTTTTTTTTTTTTCTTGTGGGTTCTTAAAAAAATCTTTTTGTAGCCTTTTTGAATGGGTAATATTGAATCAATCTGAGATAGACTTGAAAGAGTAAAACTTAGTACAGGAAGAAAGAGTTTCAACTCTTAATACAGAGACTCTATTAGTTTTGTTGAGCTTAAACAGTTCTGGTCAAATGGCATGTTATATACAGGATTCAAACTTTCAAACTTATTTGGTAAATAACCAGGCATTTGAGATTCAGTGGTTATTTCAAGTTAACTTAGTCCTATACATGTAAATGCACATCCTGTTTAGACTGACACATGACTCTATAAAAAAATAATGAATATTTGCTTATAAAGATATTATCTGTGGAGTAGATGGAGTAAATAGTAAATAACAGGAGAGTGAAGCTTATGCTCAGGTATGATGGCTTTTTTTTTTTTTCTTGGTCCTTTTTGGGGGTAAGACCTGAGCTATAGAGGAAGTTTAAAATTTCATTTTCCAGTTAATGAATTTGAACGGTTGCATAATTTTTTCTTTTAAAGCAAGTGAAAACTATGATATGATGATTAAAAGAGCATGCTGTCTTCTTGAAAAAGCTCTATTCATTTACTAAGTGATAGACAATCATCGTTTTGAAGTCATGTTCAGATTATATAAAGTAATATACAGGGCAGGATAAAACTTGTTTTTAGTGATCTTCTAAAATACACTGGATTTCAAACAACAGAGTTTTAAGGTTGAATCCTGTTTAGATTTTCATCAGATAGAATTGTTGGATATGATTGATTGGCATAACCTGGACATTTTACCCAATATCCAATCACCTGCAGTGGTAGAAAATGCTATAATTAGAGTTCTGAGAGTAACCTAGAAAACTTATTTGTCTAGGCCTAAAGTCAGTGCATTCCCTCATACACTCGTCACAATTTTTTAGCCTGAGAAATGTAGGCTTATTTTAAAGGCAAAGAGAGTGCTTGGCTGTTTCAAATAAAGTATATCCTGAGCCTAGATTTGTAGATAGTTAATAAAATAAAAGTCCAATTTTGTTCCAAACATTGTTTAAAACACCCATTTGTAAATTGTCTGCATTTGGTTTTCATATGTTAATGATTTGGGATCTGAAACTTCTTTCAGAAAGGCATTTTGGTTTATCTTAAAAAACACCACACAAAACTGTCTAAACAACTCTGTAAATAAACTGTTCCAAATGCCTCAATTTGATGAATGAATTAAAGAATTATAGTTCTTAATCCAATTATGATCAGTCTTGTTATTCCATTTCCCATTTGGGGGAGCTTGGGGAGTGGGAATGGTAAATGATTCTCAAATGTGAGTGGGGTCTTTGTTGTTTATTTTCTCTATGTGATGTAACATAAATAATTACTTATACCTAGGAGGAGAAGGATTTTAGATGTAGAAAAGTTATTTAGTGATTTTCAATTAAACCAAGAATTCATTTGCATGAAAAGTTGCTCTTAATGGAGGAGTTAAAATGAAATTCTTAAGAATACAAGGCAAGGATCTAACCTTTTGCTTAAAACTAATGAATTTTTATGTTTAAAGGAGGGGGGAATGGAGGACTTCTAGCTCAGTAGCAGGGCAGATATTCAGGCACTTTTCGTCACTTTTAGCTGGGCCACGTCAGGACATTTCTGTGGTGCTACTTAATAAACCTTACTATATTCGATTTCCTCGTCTTTAGAATTAAGGGGAAGATGCTCTTTGGGTTGTTTCCTCCAAACTCCTACCCCTTCTGCTGCCTACATGGGTGCTTTTGAATGCTCTCCTGATCAGGGATAGGAACTGTAGGATGGGCTCTTGATAATAGCCCAGTTTGCTTTGAAGGACCCTTCTGAATTCCTGTCCTACTCTGGCTCGTAAACTAATTAATTCAAAGGTGTTAATAGCTCATTATGGTTTAATTCTCTAGATGTGGTTATTATTATTGTTATTGTTGCAGTTTATTATGACCATCTAATTCCTTAGAGAAAGAGTTGTGGAGATTACAGGTATCAAGTGAAACTGCCAGAAGAAATATTTATGAACATGGGGATTTTTTCAGTACTACCCAAATCATACTTTATAGGCAAGTAATTACTCTGCTTACTGGTAAGGATGTTGGGCAGGCATATTGATAAAAGTAGGGGGGAAAATGAATGTATTTAAGGAATATATTAAATAACCACCCTTTAAAACTTGACCCTTAAAAATAAATAAACCCGGAAAAAAATGTATCTCCACGAGAGGTGCTATTCAATTTTATAGATATAGGCCCATTTGTTCTTTATTACTTAAAGTTCATTGTAAGTTAAAAAGAAAAAAAAAAAACCCTAATTCTATCTTCGATGCTGAGTTACTTGTCATTTAGTTACTTTGTGATGGTATGCTATCACGTGAACCAAGGGGACATATAATGCAGAGACCACTGCACGGGATGGGAGGGCTCTGGCTTGGCTTCCAGTTGGAATTCCCTGGATGTTCAGGTATTGTGTTGTCACTGCAGCACCAATTAAAGTCTTAGTTATAGGGAACTCAGGAAGGAAGCAGGATGCGAGAGGCAATCCCGCTAGCTTTTGGAGCTTCTCAGTTTAGGTCTATGTATAATTCTTTCAAGACTTCACTTGGAGTTCTCAGCGGTTCAGTGCTCTGTCCCGTGTACTCACCTCTAAAGCCGGAGATAATAATGCTTTT